GGGTCCTAACTCCCGGCTCACGTCACCAACTCTGGTGGCACCTCCACATCAATGAGACCAAGACAATGCTCCTGAGGGCCACCTCAAACTTGCCTGCACCTGCTGGTGCTTCCTGTAACTGGGCCAAAGGGCTAGCTCTCACCTGGCAGCCCCCTTCTCTTACCCCATGCCTGCTCTCAGCACCCTGTCAGGGCTATCTCCCACCCATTCACTGCCTCCACTCCTCTAACCCTGGCCCAGCCACTGTCATCTCCACTCGGACAACTCACTCCCCTCCTCACACCCACCCAGCAGCTAGAGCCAACCTTTCTGAACCGTGTCTCAGATCACGCTAACCAGCTACCATCGAGTCAACTCCGACTCACGGGGGGCCCCATGTGCTCATAAGGTTTTCAACAGTTGACTTTTTGGAAGCACACTGCCAAGCCTTTCTTCCGAGGCACCTCTGGGCGGACTCAAACCTCCAACCTTCTGGGGAGCAGCCTAGCGGTTTAACTGTGTGGATTACCCAGGACTTTGATGTCCCCTACTGAAAAGCCCCCATTGGCTTCCCAGGCCTGAAGAAGAAAATCTAAGCTTCTAATGACCCACTTGACCAGACTGTCTCTCTTTGACTTTGTCTGACCCCATCCTTTGCTTCCCACCCCATCCTTTGCCCCCCACCTCATGTTAGCCAAGCCAGCGTCTGCGCTGTTCCTCAAAGCCAACAAGCACCACCAGTCTCTGCACCTGCGGGTCCCTCTGTCTGAAGGCCCTTCCCTCAGACCTCAGAGGGCCCCCCTGACTGCCATCCCTCTTCACTGTATGGGATTCCCCCCTGAGAACACAAGGCCCACGAGGGCACGGGGTGTCACCCAGCACAGGCAGGCGGGACACAGATGACCATCAGCAGGGGTCAACCCCTCTGTCCTCCAGGACTGGGATGGCCAGGGGCACCCACTCACTTATCATTCAAGGCGTAAGACTATCCGGCTCTTGGCCTAGTGCGGCCTCCTTCAGCCTGACACCCACAGCAGTGCCCCCTTGGCCCCCCAGGCCCACCCACCTCCACCTTCCAGGGTAGAAACGGGTTGTCTGCAGTCTGGCCAGATCAGGGAACTCGGCTGTGCCCTATGCGCTTCCGGGGGTGTGTAAAACTCCGCCGGATCCTCTCCTGGGGGCACCGGCCGACCTCCGACCGCCCTGGGGAGAGCTGGCCAGCTGACACGTGCAACCGCCAGCTCCGGGGCAGTAAACACAGCGCTCGCCATGGAAACCTCCAGGCCCTCACCCTGACGGCGAGGTGTCCGTCCCAGGCCCCAGGGGCAGGGGGCTTACCCGGGCGGGGGCAGGTCCTGCGTCCCCCTCGCCGGGAGACCCCCGCCCCCAGGCCCAGACTCAGGTCCAGCCGCGGGCCCCGATTCCCGCTGGTGGACTCCGTGTCGCCCCGCCCTGGCCCTCCTCACCTGCGCGGCCCAGG